TATATATATATATATATATATATATATACACATCCCATTATTTTTACATATTAATTATGCAACACTGTTCCAGAAAGTTATTCCGTTAAATTATAAAACACGACTTCTGACTTTTATTTAAGATTTATTTTTTACAATTAAATCTAAATGCCAATTTTAGGTGAAAAAAAGTGGACAGAAATGACTGTCAAAAATATAGTACCTATCGCATAAAATTTTTAATGCGTGTTGCATGAAACTACTTTTATTAATGACATTCGTTGCAGTTTTAAGAGTTTTATATTAGAAAATGTGATAAAACTGGTAAATGAAATAAAAATATTACGAAATAAGAATATAAGAATGTGAAAAATCCAGTGACACCTCCATGTCAGTCTTGTGTGGTATAATAGTTAATAAATGCAAATTTTATCATGCACCGTTATCTTTGTGGCGCATACAGTTGGTTTGTGACGCGTACAATTCGTCTTATAGTACCTCCTTTGTGCAAAATTTAATAGCGATGCTCGAAATGCACCGCTTTATATGAAATAGAAGTGCTTAAATTTAATGAGAATAATTTTATGCGTCCAATGTATAATAATCAATGTATAATATCTACATAAATAGTTTAACGGACAAATTTATATCAACAAGATGAATATCGTAGACGAATTGGTAACTATCAGTCACAACAAAATTTGATCTCCCCAATAACAAAATGAAAAATTTTACACTCTCTGTGTAAAACACTGATTGATAAATAAAATAACACATTTTATATCATATTCAGAGAAATGTCCGCGAACTAGCTTTTACAATTGATAAACAAATAAAAGCGTAAAACAAAGAATCTCGAAATGCGTAAGTAATTATTATTGTATTGAAATTTTGTGCTGATTTGAAATAAGACAAAGACATGTTCATAAATGAATAGAGATTGTGAAAAAGTTTTAAGTCCTTCAAAAAAATATTCACTTTTTCGTGTCTCGAAGGAATAACACCAAAGTGCTAAACGAATATTAAAGTATCCATATTGATTACGTTCGTATGACAAAAAGAGGATAAAGGACATAATTACAGTCGAGAGGGACAGGCACTCCTCACGCAGCGCGTCCTCATTTGGCGCACCAACCCATGGTGCAACAGCCTCACCCTTCTCGCCTGTTTGCTTGCTGGCGATGAAAGCCTCCTGTTCCTTATTGAGTTCAGCAATCAGCCTCTGAAACAGAGAATTAATTTTCTTGTCAGTAGACGTATCGCAGAAGGGATTGAGTTGGACAAAGGTGCAAACGCGGATAAAATGAGTTTTGAAATCGATTCTAGGTTATTAACGCAAGAGCGTTATGCTAACTGGTGGTTAGAAATAGCGCTGAGTCTGCGATAAATTTCATTTCAAAGCTTATTACCGCATAGATGACACTCTGCGATTTTCCGCCATCAATTCGTTCTCGTTCGCAGGTATTAGCACCGAGATTACCGAGATTACGTCTGTATTTAACGTGTGTTCCTATGATAAATTGCGGGCATATATGAATCCATATGGTTAACGCAATTATAAGATATTTTCTTAAAAAAAAAAAAAAAAATGGATTTTTTTGAAAATATTTCACGTAAAATTAAAAATTTTATTTTACGCTCCTTATATAATTATGTAAAACATATTTATACATGTATCTCATAAAAACTTAATTCTATTACATATTTTTATTCGAAACTTATAAGAAAGTATAAAATTAAGTCAAATTTCTATCTTCTTCGTCACAATAATTATTTAAGCGATTTATAGATTCCTTTTATCCCGAATTTGAAGCGAGTAAAAATTGAAACAAAATCGATGAAGGATACACTGAAAAAAAGATTGGTTGCTGCAACCATATAAAAATGCTATACCATATTTTACTATCTAACTTGTTGCAGCAACCAATCTTTTTTTTCAGTGTAGTATATGTTACATCTAGGAAGACACAAAGTGTAATATTATATTTAATGCAGCGTAAATCTCGACAGTTTCTTGCCACTGCGATCGTGAAAAACAATAAGATCGCTCAATTTTTCAAAACGCTTCATGTAACTACGACGTCCCACGCTATACGGAAGTTTCGGATAAGAATTGATGGCACAAATTTTATCCTTTGGTCGTGTTCCGATCAATAAATGTAACAAAACTTTCTTCTCGAAGAGAAGACTTTTTATCGTGGAAAATAAGAGTTATCCTCTCTCACATATAAAAATTATAAAAATTATATTTTATTGATCGTTAAGAGCATGTACGTTGACATGCTCTAAAAGAGAGTTTCGTCGTGAAATATATGTAGAAACTTATTGATAAATGTTGCAAACGAATTGACGCTGCATAAGTGATGAAAAACGAGCATCTTGTGATGCTCAACGATGATTCGAGTATTTCTCGAGATCCAATTAAACTCGCTTTTACAAGCTATCTTTTTCTTAAAGTATTCCGATTCCAATTGTTTCTGTTTACAGTAGTCGAAAGGTGTGATTAACGAGGATCGGTTGTATTTATATATATATATATATATATATAAGGTTACAAATATCTATAAATCTTCTCCCACGCGCACTCGTGTAGATCGAAGAAAATGCCATTGTTCGGTTTCGAAAGAAGAGATGTTATAAATACATTTTTCACAGAATTTATAACAGAAATTGTACTAAAGTTGCAGAAAAAATTTTAGTTCGTATAAATATCAAGCTTTTGTTCCATGAAACGATTTACATAATTTTTTCAGAACTTTTTTTTTAATAAACAACTGCGCTTTAATAAACAATGGCTGAAATAGATTCAGTTTATTTTTAAGCGGAACTACTGCATGCCAAATTACCCAGAAGTTAGCTTCTTAATGATAAAATTCTCGTTTACATCGCAATCCTTGTTAACGCGTATCGGGTTATTGATTTTTCATTTCCGACATGTTTCTACGCTTGAGAAAATTAAATTAAATTTAACATAATTTCTGTTTAAAAAATGAAATATTTAGAGATCATTCAGGGTAACACGAACGAGGTAGGTGTAATAAATGGAATAAAATCGGCGTGTTTTATAGATATCGAATCGACAGACTTACTTTCCGATTCGGCGTCGAGATAGCTGTTATTTCATTTATAATGTATGCTTACCCGCGTCTCGTTTTTACAGCGAATAATTACACGAATTTCTGGTAAAAGTGTCACTAATTTTCTCGTACTATTATTATACTATTTTTCTTCGTAACAACTGTCGATACGCGATTCCAACCGGGTACCATTGCGATGGCAATCGCCGAATAAATTTGTAGCATCGTTGCATTATACACGGAATAGCTGTATGATTCCAGCAGCCGAGAAATTCTCGATGAAATGATTGCAATGCGTGTTCCCGCTCGTAAGCGGGATATTGACTTCATCGCCGATAAATCGATTCGTGCAATCCGCGTATGACAGTAACAAAATATCAACACACTCTCGGGACCAGAATAAGAAATGTCGTTGTGAGAAAGGAAGGAAGGAAATGTCATATGTTCAGAATATATAGAGACTTACCCATGTCATCGAAGTGTGACATTAATGTAATCATGATAATATCGATAAACTAACAAGATACAAAACGTTTCAAAAAAATTAATAGTAAAAAGAGTAAGAGTAATAAAATGATAAAAAGCTAGAACGTTTTTCAAATAGAAAATAGCAAGAGCTGTAAAATTTTTAGCTGATTCAAAGACTAAAATTGATTTTTAATTAAATACATATTTAATATTGAAAAATAAGCGATTACACGAACGTACGTGCACAGTTTAATGAATCGTAAAAGAATTATAATCGATAAATCAAGATCTGGAATAGAACTTTTGTCCCTTTACGAAGCTTAATGCATTAATTCGTTATGCCAAATGTTACGAAACTTTGTCGACGTTGTACTTCATAATTTCGCGCATCTCCGCAAATATATTTGTACAAAGATAGTCTTTCAAAGTGAATCGATATATCGCTTCTCACGATAGATTGAATTTATTTGCGTTAAACGGAACATTAAAGAGTCGAGGGGTAAAAGATATAGCACGCCAAATCGATTTCTTAGCGATTACAAACGAGCTCGACGATTAATCGCTTCCTGGCTGATTCTTTTCGGGAATCTATTTTACCACCAAGATAGATACTATATTTTCACACCTTAATGTGCCATCGCAAATTTGATTTATAGCGTCACGTTGACGTACACGGAAAATCACTGAAAGTGTGTCAGTTATTGTATAGGAACTAACAAGAGCTATTCGTATGCCAATCCCATGAATCTTTAGGAAATCCCATAAGTCTCGATTTTATAAGAATTGAAACCTTGAAAAGGAAAATTTACAAAACAATGTACATCGTATACAATCTAAATTAGAATAAATATTGAAGGAATATCAGATTCCAACTTTCTTTTCCCACGGGATTGCAACTTTCAAAAAATAAACTCTTAAAATATCTACTACGATGTCGTCGTCAATAGTTTCTGGTCTTTTAAACATTATTTTTATCAGAAAATTCACAGTTTTATTACAGAAGTATCTCTTTTATCGCTATATAATTATATAATATACTTGCATAATTTTTAATAACTTATCTCTCCCTCCTCCCTCTGTTTCCGATGAAAGTTGCGTAATTATAATATTGCATTTTCTAACTTCTTTCTTTTAATTACTCGACTATATTTTTAGAACATTCCGGTTATTATTATTTTCGAGAGGGAAAAGACGCCTACAAAATCGCAAGAATTTTTAAGACACTCTTCCCGAACAGTTGAGAGATCCCAGGTTCGAATCTTGGCTAAGGTAATATTTTTCGCAATAAATTTTTTTCTTTCTTTCTAATTTAATTTAGGGGGGATTATTAGCGTTTCAGAATGATTGTGTTGTTAAAACCGAATGTCGGCTCGCAATTATATCTGGAATAAATTGATTTAATAAAAGAATATATAATGTATTATTTGTAACATCCAAAATTTTATCGATCTTGACTTTCTTTATCGTATTTGATGTATTCAGATATACGGTCGTGCTTAAAATTCTTAATATGTTCGCAAGAATTTTATTTAAAGGAGAAGTCAACAATTTTTTATGTATAATATCAAGGTCTGCGGACAATCTATTTTAATTTCAAGTTTTTAATTAAATAGAAATTTCCATTCGCTTTATGATCGATTTGCGATGGAAGTAGAAATAACTGATTATCTCCAGCGTTGCTATGAAAACTCTTCGTGATGCTCGAATTTCTCTTCAACGACCTGACGCCGTTATAGAAATCCATTACAGGATCCGTCAAGCCAAGAGACAGCCTTAAAATAATTTTGATCATGGTATGACCGCGATCGGTGTACGCAAAAAAAAAACTATGTAGAGCAAAAAAATTGGTATTGCAGTCACGCGTTACAGAAAATGTGACTCGCATAACAGATCGTGGGTGTTGATAATTTCCTGCATTCCGGAAGAACTATGAGAAGATGAAGCAGTTGAGGGAGTAAAATGCTAAAGAGGTAGGTACAAGAACATCAAAGCGTCGAATGATCATAAGACAGAAAGATAGGAGCAAAATAAAAGTTGCGAGGTGCAGTTGATATCAATTTTTGTCGTCCGCATTTAATGATATTTGATATTGGCTTATATCGAATAGAGAAAGTAGAGAAAGGATATATTCTTTAATTAATTGCTATCTATATTTAGTATAATTTTAATATTTATTACAATTATTATATATATTTCAATTTATTAAATTTCATGATAAAGCTTTAGAAATACTACATACTATGAAAAAAATTATAAAAATAGATATTACAATTAACGATATATTGAAATATTCAATTTAATATCATATACGTGATATTCCTGTCAGGAATTTTTCTGAGCTCTAATGGCAAATACAATTTAAATATTTAATACACCGTGAAATTTTAATCAACTATACATTAATATGTATCAATTTACCTATTATAAGGTTTATAACTTGATTTATTACATGTACTGCAAGTATATTTATATTATTTATCGCACAAGCGAGATGATGACGTCGGGAAGAATTACGTCATTTGAAAAATTGGTTACGCTGTCAAGTATCATTTATCAAGAGAATGAGATAGAAGAGGGGATATTTTAGTCACGAAGAGCTTTCGCTGCAGTTCTTCCTTTGTCGGCCATAAGAAGTTGATTGCATACTCATTGCTGATTAGGTCGTCGCAATATCGACGGAACGATGCACTCGCGCAATGCGCCATCAAAAAGTCTTTTCTGGAATCGCCGACGCCCGCGGACATCTCGTCTCGATATTCTCGTATATATATATGTCTTCGAGTATCGATCGAAATGTCGATAGTTGACAGAAGTACACGATTACGGAGCGAAAAAGCTGCTCGTAAAAAGAGCTGACTTGACCTGACAAAAAAAGAGTTATACTTACTTTCATCAAGACAATTTGTGCATCGTTTTTTTTCTTTTTTCATCTCAGATTGAGATAAAGACAGCGCCGCGTCGGAGGAAGTATTGTATGAAATTTTAATATTCGTACAAGAAAGAAGATCAAAGTAGGAAGAACCTGAACGTGTTCATGAGAATAAACGACTTTTCTTTGACGTTGTTTACGTTTTAATTAATGACGTATTGGTAGCCAAGAAAAATATGCTGCAACATGACTCAGTACGACGAAACTGATAAGATCGACAAAGAAGATTGAAGCGATATCCAAAGTTAATTCTAAGCATAGAGTACAGCACGGAGATTGAACGCGGAAATTGCGTTGTACTTCGTTAACAATTTTACAAGAATTACGTACATTAATAAGCGCACTACCACTAGAATAAAGTATATGTTTTTATATTTTGCGAATAATATGTTGTACGGTAATATTTTTTTGTAGCGAAAATAATCGCGCGAGATATAAATTTGGGAATTAATGTTAATCTCCTTTGTTCAATTTTTTATTTTTATTTTGCGAATTGTTGTCAGTGCTCGAGGCAAAGAATTAGCAGCATGATGTAAGTTGTCGAAAGTACTTAAAGGATCGAGATATAATAGCTCGAAGCAAGGCACTAACTTCATGGCAACTCTAACGTCGTAAACTGTACGTTATAACGGGGGATTATCGCGAGTCAGGTATGGAAAGACCTGGATAAAGATAATTATCGTTAATTGTATCTAAAACCTAACGTATAGAAAATAGCATAAAGTGAATATCATTTGCGTTATTTATTCAAAAATTTCGAAGGTAATTATTTCAGAATTATCTTTTTAATACGTACGTTCTGAATTTCAATATAAGATATGACTGTATAAAACAATTTTTACTTGTTTTATCTCCTGGAAATATGGATAAACAGAATTTTACTAGTTTACATTTATATAAAAATCATTTTTATTAAAAATTATTTCACAAAATATTCGTTAAATATTCAACATATTGATCTTATAGAAATAATTAAAAATTCAGACAAAAATAAGATATGTCAAACAGTAATAGTCACGATAGATAGTGCATCATTAATGAAAAATACTCGTTGTAAAATAAAGATAAAAGAAAATTGAGATGACGCTTCAAAAGCGTCTTTCGTGTGAAAATAAAGTCACGTAGTTCATTAGAAAATTTCAATTTTCTTCGATGCCTTGCTGGCTCTCGATCGATATTTTTAAACAAACGTTCAGAAGCTGCGCGAACAACAGAAAAGTATGGCAATTTGTCGATTTACGGCCTCGCAGAAATCTCCTTACGCTTTATCAATATTGATTTTTCCCCAAGGGAACATTTTTATTCGAGAAAAAATGATAAGAATATTTCTCGAATATCAAGGAAGTTAAATCGCCGCGAAATCCGCCAATGAGAAATTTGCCAAAAAAATCTATTGATTTATGAATGCGATCTTTGTTGGTTTAAGGAAACGTTTCGTCGAATGGCCATTCATTGCCAAGAGATTTGACTTTATAATGTCAATGGTTTCGAGTTCTCGACTGAAACTCCATGAATATAGTTGGTTCACTAATATCATCAGCTCATACTCATTGAACACTATAAAAATTACGCAACTTCCCGCTTCTATTTTTGCTGCTTATTTCTTCAAAATAAAAAATTTCATCAAGTAACGTTGTTACGAAGGACGCTATTCATTATAAAAATGTGTTAAACGCAAACAGCTAGATGAGAAACAGGATAGAGGATAACCTGGATAACTGTCGAGTTTGTCTTTTCGGTTGAGAAAATAGAGTCAAGCTATTATGACTCATGTCTCACTTATTAATTTTATTAATGGCTAATTTTATTAATATTAAATTATTCTAAGTGAGATGAAAAGTCGATTCCATCCACGATAAATATAACTGATTGCTTTAACGTAAAACTGCGTTAAATCGATTCAAAAGTACGTGATATTGCTGATAATTTAAAGCAACGATTATTTTATCGAATTTCTTAATTATCAAAGATATATATATATATATAATTTATTAATTTTTCCATTATTAATAGAATAAAAATAGTTTAGACACTACTAAAATACAGTAAAGAATAAATACATAGAATACTGACTACTATTAAAATTTAAGTTATTATAGATTATTATTTTTACATAAAAATATTAAAACATATAAGTATGAAAATATATTATTATATTATTATTAAAGAATAACTTACGATTTTTATTCAGAAAATACAGGCACAATTTCAGACCGTGCAATAACGCCAGAAAAATTTACTATAAAGAATATGTAAGCCCTATAAGTTACTTGGAAAAGTTTATATTACGTGTTTTATTTTACTATGATGGCTGCAAGTAAACGTGCAAAAATCTCGGGATATTTTGGTAAGTTAAACAAAAATAGAATAAAATAACAAAGATTGATCTGAGGATATATGAGAGTAGGCTGACTCAGAAATTCTTGATTAGAATCCCTGCAGCTTCGAACCCAGACGCATGAAAGGAAGAAACATATCGATCGCACACCGAGTGCCAAAGGAACGATACAGTATCTTCGATATAATATTCTGCCAGAAAGATCTTATTTGAAATTTCCTACAAAAGAGCGCGTTGGCGATCCTTCGCTCAAATATCATTTCTCTTTTCCAGCCTGCACGCATTCTTTCTCTTTTTCTCTTTCTTCCTTTTTCACAGCCGGCCGTGACCCGCGTAATTTATAAAGAATCGCTTATCTCTGGATAATTTTCTTACTGTGCTGATAATAATGATCTCGTCTACTCGCACGAAATGTCCTATTTTTAGAATAATTAAACGAGACTAAACGCTGACGCTCCTAGAGGCTAGATACGATTGAAACAATCGTATTTTTATTAAATTACACAATAAATCACTACCGTGGGACAATTTTAACTCAATTGCCTGAAAAACACAGAAAGCCACTCAACGAGCATCGATTGTGACGATAAAAACTGTAGGCACGTGGTTATCCCTATCCTATTACAGTCTTATTCATTTTTTTTTTATTATTAATTAAATACGTATAGCAAACTCAGTATTTTGCATGTATTCAGAAACGAGCAATAAGCGTTTGATTAACCTCACAATATTGCATCAAGTGTATGCTCGAGGCTAGCCTTTGGTAGTAAATTGTCCGAAGATTGAAAGCTTATAGTTTATGTCATATAATCAAAAGATATTGCTTGAAAATGCTACAAAAAGGAATTTTAATAAAAATTTGAATATCTAAAAAGGGACTTAAATTGCGTTTATTAGACAGAATAAAATTCACTATCAAAACAGACCAGTTACGAATAGAATACAATATATGGTAATATTAAAATTAATTTTGCTCCTTCCGTACGCTGAAAGAAAAATGTACTAAATTTTAATAAATATTTATCCGATTAATGCCAGTTAAATATTCTCTAAATGTAAACATATATTTATTTATACAAGAACCGTTGATTTGATTACCGTTGAATGATACCTATATCATTATATTTTATTTAACAAATATTTATTTTCCGTAAATACATGTTATATTAATACTATTCAAACAATTATTTGTTAGAATTTAGTACATTTTCTCTCAATGTAGTTAATTCAGTTAAAGTATTCACCAACGAACGCGTAGACTAAATGTTACTCTAAAGTTCGCTTTTCGGCGAAATTTAATTTAATTTATTGCAAAGCTACATGATATTTGTGGTATTGATCGAAGAGAGATTGTGTCCTCTCGTTATTCACGTAAAAGCTCGATGTTAATCACGATCCAGGGGATTCTGCCACACGGATCTACTTGCCGGCGAAGCTCACTGCGATGAATGTTTATCTACCATCAAGATAAGTCTCGCATAAGCTAAAACTTGATAAATATGCGCTACAACATGATACGGTGGCCCGTTTAACGATGTAACATTGCTCGGATGTTCACTCGCCGCGAGCGCAAAGAGGTATGTATTATATAAAAGTTACTTTCGAGGCGTAGACTGGCGCGTGTGAAACTTTGTATAGTTCGTTCATTACCGGGAAGAACCTAGGCTAGTGCTATACAGTCGCGAACGCTCATCGGAAAATTTCATTTCGTGGAAAAGTCGGTGATCATTAATTCAGCTGAGTCCATAGCGTATTAATTCCAACTATCAACCCGTGGACAGAAATAGATACTCATGGTGCGTGAATATCGTTGGTAGCGCAATATAGGTAATTTGTAATGCTAACGAATAAGAGATATAGCACGTAGGAAAAGTGTAAGCAGTAAATCGACTAGCTAAAAATGATTCAAAATGCCAGTTTGTTATTTTAAACCCTTCACTGTTATACGTTACTTTTACTGTTCACGTTTTTTGTGTGACGCTAAATGATGTTATTAAGTAAAAGTGAAGAAAAAGTAGATACAGAAAATGATGATAATATAGTAATTATCATCATTATTTTCTTTTATAGTTAACGAAAGGAAAAAAAAATATTGAATGTATTGAACGCAAGAAAAAAAGACGTGAATTAGACATAACAGATTCACACAGTTAGATGACACTCACTGGAAATCTTAGTGTATAAAAAGTGACTTCAATATATGTGTGTGATTAACTTTCCGTGTAAAAATAATATACTATACTGTATAGAAATATGGATTTACACACTTAAATATGTATAGTGTCATTTTTACACGGAAAACTAAATAAAACACACGTATTGAAGTCACTTTTTATGCACTTAGATTTGCAGTAATATTGCTGTTAACAGACCGAAATAAAGAATATGAAAATTAGAAAGTCAATTTAAAATGCCACGAGTATGATCACTTGCCTATCTAAAATCCAACATGTATTTTTCGATGAGATGCGACTTTTTCTCGCAACACGAGTTACAAATTTATCTGAAAAATGACATGAGATATCTCATTTTTGAAAATGTCAGCGTGAGATCATTTATTATACGAGATATATGATCTGATTATAGTAACTTCATGATACCATAACTCGGACAATGGGAATTGATAGTGCGACCGTAGCTCGCAGTTTCCATATCTTCACGCACAGTCTGTGAGTATATAAAAGGATTATCCAGAAGTTAAGACAAATGTGTGCCGGCGTGAGTATGATGCCGGCATGATCATCACGTAGTGATGATAAAAAGATTGCTCCTTCCACAAGTAAGCGCTGAATGTAACTATGATCTGACAAGTAGTATAAGTGTAAAGTAGGTCAGGCAACGTTTGCTACACTCGTAAACAGTACATAGATTAAAATGTTATCTTTTCTACCCAACGGCGACAGAGTTTAAAAAATATTTGTAAAAAAGTAACAACACACCCACACAGTTTTATATATACTCACACACTTACATGTACATGCATTCGCAAAAAATCATAAAGAAAAATAAATATTGTAAGGAAAATAACTTTTGGTATTAAAGTTACATATTAAAGCTGCAATGCGGGCCATTGAAATATTTTCCTTTCACCATATTGGTACAGACGTAATATAGAGACGTATGAAGTGTACCTTCCAGTAACTTTAATAGGGCATTGGGAAAAATATATATATATTATTCTCACTTGACATATTTCATCAAGTTTTCTTCCGCTCACAAAACTCTTCAAGTTACGTCACGTCGACGTAATCCGAGCAACTTCAGAGAAAATATTAAGAAGCTCCGATGAAGTATTTTTCTTCGTGAGCTTTAACAGAACCTTCATGTGAATTTATAATTTATATAATATCACGTCTCAATATAAAATCATGTCCCATTTTTTTTTACGAAATATAATTACAATTTTTTCGAAGTTTCTCCGAAAAGTTTAACGAATTTATGTTTGGATTTATCAATTCAATCCGAGAAATACATTAAAAATTTAAAAAAGAATAAAAAAGCCATGTGCATTTTTTCTCACTGATAAAAATAATAAGTAAAAAACACATATAAAGTGATATAAACAAATTAAGTTACAAAAAAGATTAAATATAACAAATACGAAATGTTTTTAGCAGCAAGCAGCAAATAATGTTAGAAGCAAAATATAGAGTTTAACTAATTTCTCGGCAAAATAAATAAGACTAAAAGATTGAACAACGGAGACAAATTGAGGAAATTATGTAGAAAGTTGAAAAGAAGACACTGAATCTTCAAAATAACTGAACCATTCGCACTTAGTGATCACCTAACGATAAGCTGCGACATCACAATATTGCTGACACAATTGTGTAAGTCAAAGCGTGATATACAATTTTGCGGTAGTTATTTTCATCATTAATGTTGCGACGTCTTCTTAGTAACAGAGTTGACACGTTAATAGGACAGTTAATTTTCTGAAAATTATCGTGCGTGGTGCGTGCGTGCGTGTGTGTAGTATATATAAGAAGTGTTATTTATATGTAACGTACTTTGCGATTTAATCCGTAAAAACTGTTCGAGTTTGAACTATCTTGATATTCTGCAATAATGATATTATAGCAACTAATTAAATTATTGAATGAAAACTAAGCTAATAAAAACTAGCGCTAATAAAATCAATAGTTCACAGTCTTGACACAACGAAAAACCTTCGAACAATATTTTTGCCGGAATATATCGTCGATTGTGCTGGTGCAAAAAAATTTATTAAAGCACCAAGTAAGAGCGTGACGCTTCCTTTTTCTGAAATGTCTTGCTGCTTATAAAAGAAAAGCTGATATGACGCTAGTACATATATACTATAAACCGGAAGACCAGTTCAGGAAGGAAACAACTACGATGAATAAAAGAAGGCATCCCACAGTGCACGTTGCGATTGTTCCGTGACACGATAAACTACGTTTGCAACCTTGAGACGTGTAAGATTCCGTACAGGAAACCGTGCGTTTCCACAGAAATACTTTTGACAGCGAGCTTCGATCGATACCTACAAAAGCGACAATATACAATATAAATGACTGAAAAGAATCTTTCTCCAGGATATTTGGAATCACTCGATATATGCTTGTTGTCCGGTTAAGCTGACACATGATGCTAAAATTTATTGTCCGTGTCAAATCGACGCGAAACTTATTAGTTAATTAATATCAGTTAATTTCTCGATGTACAACACGCGGCATTGACGCATCGATTATCCCGGTGATTAATTAACATTTTGACAGAGATTGCGCCGATCGCAACAACACATTCGCAGCGAAGTATTCGTAATTTTTTATTTTTCCCCGTGTTGTTCAACAATATCGTACTTTTTGCAGAACGTATGGAATTTAATTACATCTAATCGATTGATACGAAGCAAACACTTATCGTACCAATTTTTGGAATTCCCGTCGAGCACTTTTTGCCGTTCGCGTTCAATTTCAGATACCGACGGAAATGTGCGAGCACCGTGGCGAGAATAAACTTTGTACGCGATAATCCAATCGATATCATCGCCAGTTAAATTATAACCGACTATGGAATTCGGAACTCGGCAGGGAAACTCATTTTTTCTTTGTTCCTAAAAATATGACCCACTTCTCACAGAATTATTTTCGATAAATTAGTGTCGCATTCTTATCTTTCCGGCAATATCGTTTTAATGATCTATGGAATTACAGATTGTATTAGAACAAAAGGAAGCTTTTAGCCAGTATCGAGAGAATAAATTAGCGAGCGACACGAATTATTAATTAGCGAGAATTCGCGCGGCGAATTAAGATGCATAGTTAATCGAGTTTGTAAGCAATGACAAATTGCCACTTTAT